AAATGCGAAACTCCGCACGACGCGTCGCGGCACACGAAAATTGTGCACAAGTCGTGCGACGCTGTGCATTTTGATCTACATGGCGCCAAACGCGAATTCAAGAGTGCAAGCACGATATTACCTCCACTCCATGATTCTTCTTGCTTTAAGCTATGTGTTAGAAATATGGTCGCTACGTAAACAAGGTGAAAGATCATTCAGCGTTATAGAACGCGCAGCCGAATGGACGATACTGGAAATATCCTGTGCCACGCAGTTGAAGAAAGGAATATCTAAATCTGCGACCTACGTCAACGATCAACAGCCAAAGACTCCGTTCTACACGCCAAATTGTCGGCAATAGAGTGGGTGGACACGTAATACGTCTGAATGACATCCGACGGACGGAGCGGTTAGCGACCGGATTCTTCGGGATGTCAAACGCATAGCAGGATGACCCAACAATCAGAGTTCTTTACGGAATCCCTTAAAAAACATGATGTTCGAGGAGCCCTTAGACTGGGCGGAATCTCCTGGGCTACTCTTGCGCGTGACAGGGAGGAATGAAAGATTTACTGGATCCCACACCAGTTACTCAGCAATCAGTGTGACGATATGTGAGAGATGATACAGGAGCTCATTCACGATTGTTTCTTCGGCGACACACAAACTTCATACTAGTAAGATTCAATTTCCGTGGCGACCACCATCGAACTTTTGCCACCGCTTTCTTTCGGTTACTTAATAGTACAACTTTCTATTTCTTCGGGCATCCACAGTAATTCTACTGATTAACTACAAGTCCACCGGCAACGAAATTACGAGTGGTCGTAAGAGCACCGCTTGCAGGCATCAAATGATTTTCGAGAATTAAACGAATTCTCTCCACTCTTCGAGAAGAATCATCAGTTAATGCCGATGAGCATCAAGTCAGCAACAAGTGATATATCGTGGATATGAATTATAGGGAAATCGACATGCTTGCATGACAATAAAAAACGAAAATAACTGTTATCAGGTTTTAATGCCGAAAACCTAATATTTGTGGAAGTAATATTGTTCAATCAGTCGATTTCTTGAGCAATCTACTGATACAATAGAATATTGCCTCTTCTTAGCACGCCACGCTATCGCAAGCAAAATCAGGATAGCTCCTTCCTTTTTTTCCAATTTTTGCAACCCCTTCTATTTTAATGATGCATCATTCTCAAAATCACTTCACAGAATAAGCGCTGAAACAGCCGTTGAGGCCGGTTGAATCGCGGAAGTCGATTGCTACAGATCTGGTTCTCTAACGGCAATCGCGCAGATTTCCTGCTTAGCCTATGTAATTAAAATGAGGAGATAATAGAAAAGAACCCGGAAGAGAAAGTTGGAACACTCGGGAAGATAAAAAAACAAATTCGAAACCATCATAAGGCTTGAGCATGAATGTAGAAAGACGTAAAATGAAAGAATGGTAATAAATATGCTCAAAAGATGGCTATAGTTGACATCTCAAATATGATCATCTTCAGCTCACTTGCAATAGCGCAAAGATCACTACAATTTCATGCTAATTTCTTGAATTTGGTTCGAAACTATGCAAGCAGGCACGACCCATTTAGGGCTATGATGGATACGAATGGACTGGAAGGCACACCTTCAACCGATGTATCCCGCTATGATTTCATTTCAAATGTAAAGTGAACAATAAGGATGATGGTAGGAACTTCAAGCGCAATTCGAGGTTACACAAGAAGTGACGTATAGGTGATATTGGAACATTCCTCTACACTGTAATTGAAATGTCGAGAAAATAATTGGAAGGGATATCTTAAATACATTAGGTTGTTGGGGAATTATTAGCGGAACTCAACCTATATTTTTACATCTCGATTGGCGAATAGATGTGTTTACCGAATTAAAGAATGCAATCTTTTTTCCGATAAGAAATAAATTCACTTATAGGAGTGGAAAAAATTCTCGCCATTTGGAATCGATGAAATCGTTGAACGTAGTTTCGAGTTCCGCTTAGTTCCCGTACCATTTCTCGTCGATGAAATTGCTGAGGAGTTTGCTGGCGTTGTAGTCGCTATGCGAGAGGGCCAGGTGATAGATGACGCAGAGTTTCGTGCCCCTCTCGCTCAACTTTGTGGCGTCGCCAGTATGACGTGTTACCGATGCATTGAACCTCTTCGACTTTCGTGTTTTTACACGCACCGAAAAAGTTGAGATTCCTGCACCAAGTTCTTCTGCCATTTCTGGAACAGTTTTCTTTATATTTCGAATACCAAAAACTTTGATTCTCCGCGGCCTTCTGTTTCACGGGGGCGAATTTGTCGAAATGACAATGTTTTCCAAACAAACACCGAGCTGTGCATTCGTTATCAGTTCTTTGATCCCATACCTCACCGATATTTCGCGCCAAATGAGCTAAAATACGATCGGGTATGAATTCGCAAAAGTAGATTTGTTCTCGGATCTGGAATTTAAACAATAAGCCAATCATATGGAGCGAAAGTGAATAAAATGGGGTTCGTTAGGTGTATATAATACTAAAGTAATATGTCTGAAAAAGATTGGAGCTGCTAAAGCGCATACAGGAGAAATGATACTACAAATGCAGCATTAATTGAATGTAAAACATCTATTTGTAAAGGAGAACTGTCTCAGCAATGCCTTGCTAACATCAAGCATTGCAAAACGTAATTGTGTGTGCTCATCGAACTAATACAAAGGGTTAATGATAACTGTCGAAGTTATGTAGTTAGTCTTGAGAATAGTTTAGTAGTTTTGCAATACCTCGAGTGCTTAATTCGTTTGTTCTTACCGCTACATGCACGACAACATTACAGAAATTCTCTAAACCATAACAGACTTCAAAATAACCCTTGTGTTGAAACGAATAAAGCCTAAGAAGCTCTCAGTGTTGATCAATCCTTGAGCGGGAGTCATGAAATCGACATCATTAAGCATCATTGGAGGTCATTGTATGCATATCTGGCCTTTGCAATAACTTGCGGTGGCCTACCAATATATCGCGCCAGTGCCGCTGTCTTCCCAGACAAGTCTGGTACTAATTTGCCGACCTCGGAGGAATGAAGGACTTGGTGGGGCATGGGCGTAGAAATCGATCCCACGTGCATGTTACAGGACGCCTCCGACCGCTGCGCCACGCGCCTCCATTAAAAAGAATACCTTGACTATATCCTAGGATAATTTACATTGCTCCTCTAAGTGTTCTATTCTGACAGTCATCTTCAGTTAGAAATCGGTGCTTCTGTTTTCGGGACGTAAAGCAAACTTATCTGTAGGTGAGATGTACAGTTGTGCAATGGGAAATACATAATTGAACAAAAAATTAGAATATATCTTTCTACTTCTGTTCAGCAAGCACGAGGTGCTATTTTTTATTTTTTTTATTTTTAAATAGCACCTCGTGCTTGCTGAACAGAAGTAGAAAGATATATTCAATCAATGCCGAGGTTAATAGAAAGTCGGACTTAGGAGTTACTACAAAAAATTAGAGTTACAAATTCATTAACTTTGAAACATGTTTGCTCTAATTTATGGGATCTCGCTTTGCCTGATTTTGATAGCACAGCTTTTCTATCGTAATGCGTATTCTTAAAGAGCTCAAGAAAGTACTTTGAAGGAAAGAATGATATTTGAAATGAAATACAATAATTCCCATGACCGACGTTCTGTTAACCTCGGCATTAATTGATAATTCAATGTTTTTCATCAATAAGCAGACACGAGGTTGTTAATATAGAATTTATTAGAACACAATTGCTGACGTTTCGGATAGGATGTAGGAACACAACGGAGAAGATTTTGAGGTAGGAGACACTATCCTTACGCAGGAATCGAAAACATCAGCGCGTAAAACTCTTGAAGCGTTTTGGATCAATGCCAAAAATTCAAAAATGAACCGCAAGGAGGAGTGTCTTGTCATCACGCGTGACCTAGCGCCATACCTCAGGCTGATCCAATGACCTGACATGGACACAGTTATCGACCATGTATTACTCTGTGCGGCGGCTATCCACCAACTAACTTAAATACTTACAACAAATAAACGGTAGGTGTTTGAATGAAGCTGTTTCTTATGCGAATGCAAATCGAATTGTCAAGTTTTATCTGCTAGGGTTGTGAAAGTGTTTGGCTGAGTAGATCACATCTCAATTTGACCTTTCCAGGCTCTGAAGAAGGCGAAACCGCCGAAACGTCAGCAATTGTGTTCTAATAAATTCTATATTAACAACCTCGTGTCTGTTTATTGATGAAAAACATTGAAATACAATAATTCTAATTGAAAATAATTCTAATTGTTATAAAAAAAATTTACCTGGCTTAACTGCTTACCTGCAAATTTTTCTAGTTTAACAAGCATAATTGCTACCAGACTTATCTGGGCTCGCATCATTTCCTCTAATCCAAGTGGGAATGCTCTAGTGCCGGCTACGTTGGGATCGGCTGAATCAGTAGTCAACGACATCGGTGGCAAAGACAAAAAAACCACGAACAGCTTGCGAAACCACGCAACACGTGACTGGATCCGCACAGTGCGATACATATGATATCTGGTCATGGAATAATATAATAAAGATAATAATTGGTGTACCGATCAAGCTGGCGTGTAACATATTCCGAACGACTTCAGAAGTGTAAGCGTTTATTTATTGTTGGGATATGACAGACAGAATCTAACAAATAAGGTTTTTAAAATACTTAACTTGACCTTCTCTTTTCGATATACAGTTTTTAAAATCGAAAGTACAACTGGTGACATCTCTACCATTAAATGCTCTCTCCACACCCTTCCAGGCATCAAAGCACTGTTATAACAGCTAAGCTCTAAGCCCGGTTTTATGACGCGACACGATTTTTCATCTCACTTCAGTCGTCTTAAGGACTCTCTCGGTATTTTCGCATATCTTCCACTTCTTTCTGCAGCAGGTTCTGATTTCACTCAGATTTTGCGGGTGGGCATGGTTAGCCGCTGCTAGCTATTGGTATAAAAGCCGTTGAGAATCATGAACAATCAGATTCGTCTCTATCAAACAATGATGCAATACCTCCTGCTATACCTCGCACTTGTCACCGGCTCGTCTGCTATTCTTTTTGGCGGCGGTGGAGGTGGATGTGGATGCGCGTAAGTTTATATTATTAGTTTCTCGCCACAGACTGGCCCAATGGTCCCCAGACAGAAACCTAGTAATATAGCGAAGACAGCAAGCCATTAATAAAATACTTTTTTAGAAAGCAGAAAACAAGGTCGAAAAAAACCATTGAAATGCGTCCTACCACTGTTCCTTCTAATGAGTGCGAATCAAGTGGAAAATTTGCGATCCTAATCAAAACCTTTTATTTTCAGACCGCCTCCACCACCCTGTTGTCCTCCTCCCCTCCAACTTCCGTCGCTTTCTTTACCTCAGCCGTGCTGTCCACCACCATGTCCTGCTCCGGCATGTGGTGGCGGTGGAGCAGCTCCTCCTCCACCATCATACGCTACTGCACCTGGTAACGCTTATGCCGTTCCAGGAAAGTGATGGCCAAGAGATCATTGGCAACCTTTCTGCATGTATATTCGATAATTTCTATTTTATAAAATTTGCTTACTCTGTACGTATATTCGATAAATTCTATTTTATGAATGTTACATATAGTATGGGATACGTATTAAAACCGTTTGGAAGAAAAGCATTTTTTCCAAAATAATATTGAAATTTTGCGTATGTCCAAACACGAAAGACGTGCCGTATGCAAACAACTTAAACTAAATAAGCACAGCTTCAAATATACGGAGCAAAAAATTATGGCACCATCTAAGGAACATTTTACCCTTACGAGACTATCATTTGGACGAGTACATGGATCAATGCCATTCAAAAGTCCCATTGTGAGTGAAATATAAAAATATGGGAAAACGCAAATATCAATGGAAAATCTTAAACGTCGTTTTTATAAGTGTCCTGACACATTAGCTCAATCGTGGGTGTGCTCTATAACACCTTTTCGACTCGACCCAAGCAAGAGCTCTAAGCGAATCATTGCCCGATCCTGTGTTATGTTGATCAAAAGGATAAAGGATAAAGGACTATTTTTGGCGTTTATCAAACCATGAGGGATGCTCCCTGCATTCAACTTCAATACACATCGTCAAAGTTGACTGAATGCATATTTACCCTGTACAATGACACACCGTGGACCACCGATCTATCAAGTCACTGCTGGTGACCTCTCAGACATGTCCGGTATCAATTCGCCGAGCCGGGAAAGATCGAAAGCTTGGCGAGCAAGGGCACACGGCAAAAACAAAAACCGTCTGTTCATCGAGAGCACCTCTAACCACTCCTCTACACGTAACCACATCTCGTGCTAATTATCTAGTAAAAATAATAATAGAAGGATTGGCAAACATACCGCTCGCCTTTCAACCTAAATTTGCACGAATTGGGGGAATTTACCAAATTTCCGGTTAACTAATATATGCTATTTCTTTCTAGTTAGATAAAAGGTGAACGCATTGTGTTGGCGCTTACCCTTTAGTATTTAATCTGAGATGCGCCATGCATTCGACTTCACTGTGTATCGTTTGGAGGTGAATGAATGCATATCAAGCTTTTACAATGACTCGCGGTGAAATACTGATGTATCGAGCCAGTGCAGCTAACCTTCCAGACAAGGCTGGTAGCAATTTTCCCACCCTGAAGGGATGGAAGGCTTGGTGGGCCTTGGAGCGGGGATCGATTCCACGTGATTATCGCAGCGGCGCCTTAAGCCACTGTACCACATATGTCCCTTAAAAGCGGCAAAAAGGATAAAACGCAAAGCCTGTGCTAAAATTAAAATACAGGAAAAATATCATGGCAATGTATGGTTGGTCCAGTATTTAGTGTACAATCTTCATTGAAAATTTCATGCAGGTGAGTGTTCTTCATTACACGACGTTCTCCATCGGATTAGTAATTATTGTGATCAAATATTACTCCTTTCTTTCATATGTCTAAACTTTGATGTTTTCAAAATTACAGCGTGGATTGCTCGTGATATAAGACTGTATAATAACATCAAGACTTCCATCCTTCTGGAGTCGACAAACTACTACCATACTTGCCTGAGAGGATATCAGCACTGATTTGATATATAGATAGCCTTGGCTTACCTTCAAAGTGTTGTTATTCTTAAGACATCGATGAGGAGTACGATTCGCCCATCCTTCCCTTCAAGACTTGGAAAACCGCTTTAAATTTTTCTAACCAACGCCATCTTCTAAAAACTCTCTTAACACCAAAGCTTAAACTTTCACAATTGGAGTTCGACTGAAAATTGAACTTTAACCTTGAAAAGCTCTTACCCGTAAAGAAGAAATTAAATATTCAAAACAGAAGCTGTGGAAGAAAACTGTAAATAGAGAAACAGTTAAAAGGAGCCATTTCAGAGGCCCGCCTCGAATGTGCTAACAGCAATATTGATAACGTGTTACTGTACTTGAGGGAAAGTATTCTTACACCTAGAATAAGAAAAAACGGTCCTTACGGCTTCGATTCCTCTTTGGGACAGTACGTCCGCTTCACCTTGTCGCAGAAGAATCGTCCAGACCCAGTGTAGACATAAACGAAACGGAACTTGGAAAACTGTACCGCTTCTCTTCACGAACGAACTGGCTAGGGTCTTCACAAATTACACATATCAAAGCTACAGAAATTAAGCGAAAAAGTAGTATTGTGCCTGAGTAGGTAGGAACAAATATAATACTGTCAACCATGATACCCCGTCCGTGTCGGGCCTATTTTCAAAAAACATTACGTAGCCATTACAGAGTCGACATTGCAAAGAGAAAAGGCATTTCAGCGAATTGAGATTTCGAAAGGTTCCTCGATGAACTAAGCAGAACTTCATTCTACATTAAGATCGTTAATAAGAGGCTCGACGCAAAATAGTCTCACTGGGATTAGTGAGCAATACGAGGAAAGTTCCTCGCGAGTACTAGCCGTCAAGATAGGTGCAGTAACATCCGAATCTTCCATTGAGGATTTGAGGACTTGCTTAGGCAACTAATGTGTGCATTCGGCCTTTGGTAACAAAATTGTTGAACAAGATCATGCGTCTGCGAGAGTTTTAATCCGACCGTCTCGAAATAATTAAAACACATCTATCTCTAGAAGTACTCGCGTATACCTGGACACCTAAGAGTCGTCCACTTGCCTTCGAACTTCTAAAATTCGGCAAGAAAAGTAGATGAGTAGAAAAGCAGCAGCACTGGTTGATGGTTCATAGATTGAAGAGAACATTTTCAAGACCGTTAGGACCCGCAAAAACCATTTCGCTTGTAGATCTTTCGGCTCCAGATGTGGTCGTCATTTCTCCAGAAAGGCAATAGTGCTACATATACTTCTTTTCAACTTGCTAGGGACAACTATTTTTTCAAAAAAAAAACCGCAGAATACCTGTTAAGTCGAGTTTGAATATAATCTAGCCTACTAATGTGTGGGTCGTCGAGCTTTTGCACAGACTCATATTCCGACATTTTGGCACTTTTCAACAACTTTCAATGTTCGAAGACCGTTGAATACGGAAAACCCTCTTTTCCGTCATAAAGCAATTCCTGCTGCAATTTTATGACAACATTCGGTCGTTTTCCTAAGACATCGTTGTTTATCCACGAAAAACTTGTTAGGTGTGTAATTGTAGAGTACATAGAAGAGTGTGATTTTTGCAGGGAGATTACAAAAGAAATAAATCACTCTCTTTTCCTTTAACGTGATGGAATTATTACTTCCAACCGCACTGTGAGCTATGAGTGTAGACGTTTTGTTTGACTGAAGCAAATCTTTCCACAACTAAACACATTTTCCCTTTGACTTGCTACCGGTTAGGTCTGATACGTTCCCTTATCTTCGAGCAATTCTCCTATTCAGTTTGCGACGTCCATCTTTACAGTGCTCCTCTATTGCTCATGCTAACGACCAAGCTTATGTCTTTCTGGAGGTGCACTTGGTTGCATAACAATTTAACTGAAGCTTACAAAGCAAGTGCTTCAAAAAAATAACTTTCCAGGATTTAATGAGAGTGAAAAGAGACCGGCGAGCAATAAAGCTGGGTGAAACTTTGGTGAAATATGCAACTCACTAGTGAAAACTAAGATTCTATTTCTTCAAAAAAATTCGACAAAAATCAAAGTGAAAAAATTGAATTGGTTTTGCTAGTGTCCTTCCGTTGTTCAAATCTGCAGGGAAATAATTGTTAATATGATTGGTAGAAGTTACCGCTTGGTGAGAATTCTAGTGACCATCTTGGATGTGACGAGATACGTTGTAGGTTCTAGAGCATTTTTCCAACTTCTGACCTGGTTCTGTGGAGGATCAATGAATTATTATAGGTCAAAGCGGACAAATCTACCTGGAAGATAGTAAGAAGTAGCCGTAGCCTAATTCCGAATCCTCTTAGTCGTCCAAAAGAGCGGCGTATTTGCATATCCTTTGCTGTGATACAGAACTGAATCGTTGTTCTGCAAAAATGCTGAACGCATCCCACAACAGCAGCCATTTTCCTTTAAATTCACTCCCAGCAAGTTGTAGCTTTGTGCTCCTTTATCGTTTAATTTTTTTTTCGGTTGAAAGACTCTACAAATATTTCTTACCCTAGTTAGCAACCAATATTCGCGAAAGCTATCCAGTTTATTTAATTCGAGTGATTTATGACCGTCGACCGAAAAATGTTTCCGATCCTCTTCATAACAACGGGGTGTCTCCCATCGTTGTCGTCTCCACTGTTCTTGTTTCTGTCGACGAAGTTCTTGAAATGAACTTTGCATGCTGCGCATTTTCTTGAGATCAAGTGCAACCTCGATATTGCGGCAGCAGCAGTTTTATGTTCCTGCTTTGATTTACTACAGAAACAAAATTATGTTCGCAAAGATTTACAAATATAAGCGAAAAAGAAGGCGATACTGCCGAAACGTCAGCTACCGTTATATTGTATTGTGTTTTTCTATGGAAGTAAATGTATGCTGTTTGAAAACCTCGCGATTGCTGAACAAAAAAACGACACATTCATGTTCCAATGCCGAGGTTAAGAGAAAGTCGATCCTGGGAACTATCACGGCTAAGACTGACTCGGTAACTCGTAATTCCAGAATCCCCATCCTCAAAGTTGGACGTGGGATTCTTCCTGTGAAGAGTACCATAACGAAATAGACCACACCGTAGTAAAGCGAAGGTTTTACCTAACCGGTGCTGCTATTGCCCCAAAATTCTACAAGGGATCAGACCACTAACTCCTTCATGGAGAATTTCGTGTTTCGCAGAAAGGAAAAAAGCTGCGAAGGTGCAGAATTCAGAAAACGAAATCCAAAAACCACCACGAACTGGGACTCGTCGGCTGTTGGGAAGGCGCCGTTGTCGATAACATCGACGACGAATACGATCCGCTCATTCAACATATTCACGTTAGCGCTATGAAAGCTGAGAATTCGAAAGTCACCAATAGGCTGCTGTTTCCAGAAGCACTCAGCAGGCTGACAGGCCAGCGTGGAGTCGCACGAGTTGCAGGTAACCGCCTACTAACGTCCGAACTTGCAAAACAAAACAAAAAAGCCATAAAGGAGAACCTTAAAGAAAGAGAAGCAGCAGTTATGGTCGAAGCCTCAGAGGCTGGGAAAAGCATTCGTAAAGGCCATCGAAGCTTCGCCGATTGCAAAACCAAGACGATTGCACTACGACACCCAGACGAAACAGTTATTGCGTCCAGAGAGGCAATGGAGAAAATCATTCACGAATACTACTCAGATCTCTTCCATAGTCATGTCATTCTATCACTATATGAAATAAAGGAGGAAGGACATGTCGTACACCAATGAAAATATTGATCCTGGACTAAATCCCACAAAAACGATGTTCATGAGGAGCAAGTTGATTTCGTATGCTCCACTCATGTTCAACGGTGCAATATCTCCGAATGTTCCAGCTACGTCTATCTATGTAAAAATGAACATGGTGAACTACTTAGCTGCTGAGTTGAACAGGAGGAAGCGTGTGGTTTAGTGAGCTTTCAAGAGCATCGAGACATAGTGAAGAGAACAAAAAACGCCAGAATCCGTGCCATTCCACGATTCTTGGAGCCTTAATATATGCGTCAGAAGCCTGCTCGTTGCGTAAGCAGGATGAAAGATCACTCGTCGTTATCGAACGGGCCATAATAGGAGTATCCCGTGTTACGCAAGTGATGGAGGAATCCGATGCTCCGATGTACGTGAACAACAATGAATCAAAGAGGCTGTTCTGTGCGTCAGACTGTCGAAAATGAGTTGGGAGTTACACGTAATTCGTATTCAAAAAACGACACATTCATATTCCAATGCCGAGGTTAATAGAAAGTCGATCCTGGGAACTATAAGCGAAAAAATCTTAACGAAACATGAAAACGGCGAAGAAAAGCTCGGAGTGGGCATCGAATCTGGCCAAATGTAGTAACAGCGGTAGGATAAACAATGGAATAATTAGGAGATTCACATATCCTAAGCTGATCCTTCTTTCTATTAGAAAAGCTCTAGGCGTTGATCAATCCCTGAGAGGTGCTCCGTGCATTCGACTTAATTAAGCATCGTTTAGAGGTGACTGAGTGCATATCTGGCCTTTATATTGACTCGTGGTGGCCTACTGATGTGTCGGCCCAGTGCTGCTATCCTCGCAGACAAGTCTAGTACCGATTTCCCGACCCCGGATGGATGGAAGACTTGGTGGGCCGTAAGCGCGTGGATCGACTGAACATGTGTGTTGCAGGGCGCCTCCAACCACTGCGCCACATGCGCCGCTCTTCCTATTAATGTGCATTAATGTGCATAAACGGTAAAAACGTGTATAACGTTAAACAGCCTATGTATATCTACTGTACGATAACGGACTAGACAAAAGATAAAATTATTATTTAATGCCGTTCTATTCAACGTTGAACTTAGCACCTAAGCCCGTCAAACGCTTATATGTAAGTGGAAGCGCAAAGTATTTTTAACATTGGTTCGACTGCGTTTTGTAACAAGCTATAGTATATCATGTAACAACAAACCAGAAAAAGTTAGTATCACAAAGGTTCTTTTGTGAGAACCCTATAATTCGAAATCAAGACGTTTTATTCGTAACATGGCTTGTAATCCGTTTCATTGTGAATGAATTGCTTCACTCTCTCTTATTAAGCACGGTTATTCCCTCTCGCTAATCCAGGGATCAGGAAATTTTTGTTGGCATTCAAGGGAAAAGGGAAAGCGATAGAACTCTGAATGCAAGCACATCTACGCTGCAAAGATGTGATTACATCATTCTTCTGGAAGTCGTGATATGATGACACTTTCTTCGGCGAGGTTTCCTCGTTCGAGCGTGAAAGCATCGCCGTCTCACCTATTCTATCGTTCTGGTTTCGTGAAAAATTCTCACTAGTGCCATCAAAGTCCCTTGTTTCAGGTCTCGTTTCCATCTTCGAATCTCGCAATCGGTGCGACATATCCGTGGGTGAACCTGTCGCGATTCGCTTATAAGTCTGAACGAGCTCATTTCACGTATTATTCGGCACCTGCTTCTTTCATTATCTTTTCTCCGTCACAATTTTTTTCTTTTTTTTTTAACTTTTTACGAGATATACCTTATTTTGTAGTGTGCTTGTGTCATTTATTAGGATATCTGAAACTTACTGGTGGCTGTCTTACTTTAATCGCTGTTGTTTTGTCACTATTTCACTCCAACACTCCACAGTAAAATTATAAACTAAAAACCCTTGGAGTTAAGTGTTCTAGACGAAAAATTTCAGAATGCTCAAACTCGCTGTTGCCACCCTAGCTGTATTTGCAGTCTCTGACGCTCTCCTGTTCGGATCTTCTGGTGGTTGCTGGTTGGTAAATTTATTTACATAAAAACTCTGTGCTTGGCACAGCATTCGAGATTTGTAGGAAGGGAAAGTGGGAATGTCAAAGTTACTCATTTATTTATATTTTCATAATGTGACTTGCAAAGCTTTTTTATTTTTTCTAATTTGTGCATGAAATGAGTTTTCTAATGAAAACAACTGTTTCAGCCCTCCTCCACCTCCACCTCCTTCATGCGGATGTGGTGGAGGAGCTCCTTCTGGAGGGGGATATGCTGTGGCTCCTCAATCTGGATACGCTCAAGCTCCTTCAGGAGGAGGATACGCCCAGCCCTCATATGTTCCACCCCCTCCTCCTCCTCCACCACCATCCTATGCTGGTCGTGAGTTATAAAACTTTTGTTCTAATACTCTATAATCTAGTCTTGAATGGGATATGGATATTCACAATCAAACCACGTACATATGTATATACATGTATATAATATAAATATATGTACTAGGGGCGGTGATAACGTAGCAGTTCGTGATGCCGTCGATCAGGATGCAAAGACGCTAGTCGAAGCACAGACCCAAGGGTCTTCTTCAAACTACATGGGAACGTCTTAGTCTGGCTGTTTCCAAGATTGCAAGAAGAATTTTCACGACCAGCTCTTTACGACATTCATAAAGAAGACAAAGTTCTCAAGCACCAGCTGAAAAAACACGTGAAATGTTCGAAGTCCATTGTGAATGATGAACGCGAAGAAATGATTCGAATTCAAGAAGTGCGAGGATCCTCACAGTAGATGTGATAACTTGTCACGTAAAAATAAAAGATTTATGTACCAGAATAGCCCATCCTCACTAAAAGGACACGTGGTTGGTTGAGTATATGACCCCAGCCTGTCCGTAACTCTTCAAGTTCCGGGGGATGGATGGCCAGTTGTGCCTAAGATTAGTTTAAAAATAAATGTGGTTTTCTGAAATTTCAAATTACTGAACAGCAACTTCATTAATTCAGCTAACAACGCTTTATTAGTTAACTTTGTCAATTATAGTGTAGAATTCCTTGTCATCGTACGTCGGAACGAAACCAAAAAACATGTTCTTTTTTTGTGCAAAACAGGCATTGTACGGTCTTCTTGACGACGACCTCGCTATCATTTCAAGTTCAATTCGTACAGCATTCCTCTATTGGCCTTCTCTCCCAATGTTTTCCAGACAGCAAGCGTTAGTAAACTGTGAATGTTCGGTCTTTATAGAAGCCTTCAAGTATTCTTTTTCGGAGTGACAGTTTTGATTAACGGCAGGAGGTAGATTTTGTCAACAGTTTACAGGGGTTAGAGACTTTGCCAAGGATCATATCTCTATCTCATGTATTATACACATATGTGTGTGTATATATATGTATATATGTATATCAATAAACCCTGTGCATTATTTTCCAGCTGTTGGTGGCGGTTCTGGTAGTTATGCAGGAGCTGGTCACGGAGGAGGATCCTATGCCGGTGCCAACTAAGTTGGATGAAGCAGCTGAAGGCTTTCGTATCTGATTGTCTGTCCATATTGGTGATTAGATATAATTCACTATTTTTGCTGAAGAAGGCTGTACGCCGAAATGTTGTCCAGAATAAAGTTTTCTTACAACTTCGTCTAAGTCTACAAAATTAGCCAAAACACTAATTCATTATTTTGTTCAGCCCATAGAACGCTAGCAAAGTATTAAATGATCTTATCTAAAGAAGAGACAGCAGTTTTTTTTCCTGAAACAACTCAGAGCCACAAGATAAGGCTAGACAGCTTGATGTACTTATGGGTTAACCATTGATAGTGTGTAAAATGGCTAAAACGTTTAGCGTCGATCAAACGCTGAAGCATGCCCTGTGAATCCGACTTCATCAACTATCTTAGCAATCCCGAGGTCGACTTGGTTTTTTACCTCGGAGTTGATCAATCCTCATCTAGTCCACATGAGATCGCCTTAGCCTAGCTATACCGGATTGCAAGGAGAATCGGCTCGACTAGCATTCCACGAGATTTATAAAGGGGACGAAATCCTCAAGCAGCAACTGAACCAACACGCAAAATGTTTGAAGACCATTGTGGATATGAATGCGAGGAAAACGAATAGAACGTGAGAATTGCTGAGATCCGCACATTAGATGTGATGAGCTTCGTACAAAATAAATAAAAATAGCATAGGCCCTTTACTGAAATGTGTAAGCTTCTTTTACATATTTCTAAGCGATGATTTGAGTCTTTACCGAACGACTCCCGCCGCAATATATGTTCTCAAAGCTATCAGTTGATGACAAACAGTGTAGAAGAATACCTTCTTAGATTATTAAGCTAGCATGATGTTGATAAAAAAGTTTACTCGGATAGCGTTTCGAGGCCCTTCTCATCTTTAGTGCCGAATTGATCCGAGTCGATGATGCACATGTGATCCTCTCGTGATGTGGCTGTTCTTTGTCGCACCGAGTCCAACACAGTGAAGTGGAGCACCGATAAAGTGAAGAATCTCATTCAATGGTGCCTTTTATAGAAGGCGACTGTTGAGATTATTTAGGACAAATAGTTCTATGTATCAAAACAAGCCATCGCAAAGCAAATGAGGCCTATGTGTATTAGTTATATCGATCACACCAGCAAACAATCATGATATCTACAGCTTTCAGTCGTCCCGGGTGTTAAATGGAATTCTTCGGAAACTACTGGACCTTTCACAGTTGTTTAAAATCAAGTTAACAGTCATCTACAGCAATGCACATTTTCTATGAAGTTAATCGGGTTAATAATATTTGTTTAGAAAACAAATTCTTAAAGAATGGAAATATTTACTCAGAAAAAACACGCAGTTTTGTTTGCTAAGATTGCAAATATGAAATACGAAACTGATTTCTAAATAAAAGGATAAAGGATAAAGCTATCTGCGTTGATCAATTCCTGAGGGATGCGCCATGCACTCGACTTCATTAAGCATCGTTTGGAGTTGATTGCATATATCGCCTTTACAGTGACTCGCGGTGGCCTAATGATGTATCGAGCCAGTCTGCTATCCTCCCAGACAAGTGTGGTACCAATTTGCCGACTCCGGAGGGATGGAAGGCTTGGTGGGCCATGGGCGCGGGAATCGATTCCACGTGCGTGTCGCAGTGGCCCCTCCAAGCACTGGGCCGCATCCGTTCTTCGATTTCTAAATAGCGTAGCAAAAAGTCGACCACTCTAGTGGTTTAGCATGTTTAAGATAATGCTGTGTGATAATATGATACGGTAGGTATCACCAAATGATTTAGGCCTAGACTATAGGGTAGGCTTTATTTTTTAAAACCAGAGGTTCATTCACATGGGCGAAAATGAGGGAAGTATTCGATCGGTATGTATACCGTGTATTATCATCGTTTTCCTGAGGGCTGCGTAGCAAGGCTGAGATTATAGTGTCGTCTACCGCTTTACTTTTCCTTTCCCGACAGATTCCCTAACTAAAAGCTTTCAAAATTTGTTGAGATCAAGGTGTTTCAAGAGGAAAGCCTTTTGAAATATTTGTATACAACACTCAAATAGCATGAAAACACCTGAATGCATCCGCCTGCACACCACTCTTGCAGAATCTTCATTAAAAAAAAGAATGAAAGAGAGACAACTCAACTACTGCACGTAGTTATGACATGACTCTTTCGTTCAGGGAACTACATCTTTTTGAGTAGCGTAATCCTGCGGTATTCTAAGCGCCATGAGTTTCCACCCATTTGCTATGACGAAACGTTCCTTTACTTTCCCCTCAATATTATTGGTAGTTCCACGCCATATTGTGCTATATACCGGAAACTTTGCTTCCTACATATCGAAACTTACAAAACAGCAGTTATTCCGAGCTATCTGCCTGTCCCATAGGTCACGTGACGATTCATTTATTAGTGCATAGAATTCTGTAGAAAACAGAACGTACCACATAATTTCAGTCTTAATTAGAGGCAGATTCCAAGAATCTTTTTTGGGCAGTTAGAAATTCGAAAATAGTTATAAACACCTATATTTCGCCCATTTACTAGTTTTAATTCGGATGATCCAACCTCACATATTGTGCTGATCCCAACGCAAGTTTTGCTCATTCATCGATGCATTGTATCCGCCTTCCATGATGGTCTCCAGTTTTGCGCACGGACTAGTCTACTGTGTTGGGATTTTTGATGTTCTTGACGAATGGCATCAAACCCTAGTGGAGTAGGTTCCTGTTACAGCACTGCTTGCATGCTCACATGCCCTCAGGCTAGACAATTAAAAGCCTATGTAGGTAGTAAAGAGCTCTCCCTAGGCAAATCTGGTACCTGCGTTCCATGTGCACGTGTACGTTTCCCAGAAATTCTTGTGATGCATGCGAAAATGTTCAGCTTGTGCTTGTTTTTATCAGTAGCATTGTTTTGGAATAGCAAGAGGAACGGGACCATAATAAACAAAATACGTTATCAAATGCAGGGCGAGAGCGGCTTTTTGACGTGAACAAGCGCCGCATGCATTTATTTTAGAGGGTAAAGTGTAGTAAGGAATAAAATTGCTTATATCAAGTCTTCCGTCAAAAAATTGTTGGCAACACTTAACGATGTTTCTTTTGCAGAAAGTGAAGAAATTATCAGCAACAGAGCAGCAGGATCAAACGCAATATGAAGATACGGTTAGTATGAAGCATTTCCTCAAGCGAGTAGCGTAATCTCGTAAAGCTTAGTGGAGGATTTGGCCCTGTCTTGAGATTTGATCTTTGCAAAGATCTCATTAACATTGCGCTGGAACTTTATATAATTCCCTGCCATGAAAACAATAATATCTAGCCAATAAAACATACAGTGTGATTTCGGCTACAGCTTTGGCTAAACTGGGTTTGATGGCGATTTTCCTGTCCAGATCAATCCCGTTAAAGGGTTGTTGCTAATGGCACCGTTAGAGCAAAATGGCTGAGAGAAGGGCAAAGCAAGGGCCTTAGTAATAATGTGGGTCCCCGGAAAAGGTAATAATTGATTCGAAACTGGCCTGGGCTGTGAGTTTTGCAAATATCTCTACGTCTTTTTGGTTGCATTACACATAATACCGGTCATGAAAAAAATAATGAGCCTCAAAGTGAAAGTTATGGATGGGATTTCTCCAAACTTACTTGCCTATAATTCAACACATCAAGAATTCTAGCCCTACAGTGAGAGCATCATTCCAAGATGAAAGAGATTTAAATGGAAAATATTTTCAAAGCGAAAGAAATTTTTCAGATTCGTGTGGAACCAATGGAAAGCAAACGGGACGATTGTGAGCGAACCCAGTACGGCGATCTAAACATCAGTGTACGTTAAACTATGCGTCATTCAATTTTACATTATAAGTCAACTATTATTTTAAGACGAGCAACAATGTGCTTGGATACTATGG